TCTAGGGTAATATTCTGTAATTATCATAGTAAATGACGGGTGAATAATAAATTAAAAGTGAAAAACTTTGGTGGCTCCTAAATGATGCATCTGAAAAACAATATGTTTCATTATAAAACAACTTGCACATAAGTATAGACAAATCAGCAGCAACTAAGACTTGCCTAAATTTACAAGTAATCTTCAAGTAGAAATTCCAATAACACAATAGATGAAAAAAAAAAAAGGAAGAGAACGATTTGACACGATAGATTAGAAACGATAGTTGATACACTAATCTTGTCAGCCGTAACTTTGAGAAGTTATTATTTATCCAACCATTGTGGCTTAATTGTCAGAAATGAAAACTTAGTACAAGCTGTCCTTTACGCTAACATCGTATATGATATGATATACTAAATGTGAATGTAATAAGTGATTGAAACCATGTTTAGATAGCAATTCAAATTGGATTTATAAGTTTATAGTGGAAGATGAATGCATAATTAATATGCATCGAGAATATTGCCAAGTGGGAGAAAGAAGTTGAATTGGTCAAGATAACAACAAATATCATGCGATCTTTAACATTTGAAATTCAAAGGTTGCAAAAAAATGAAAAAAATTTAGGTGGCAAAATAACAATGAGCAACCATAGGGGTAAGAGTATAAATGATGCTTTTTAGTGGGTAAATAAACATTTTAATGTTTATATTTCATTTTAACACACAAAGAAAATCTTTTAATGCAGTTTATTTTATTTGCAAAACACTCAGTTTACAAACAAGAATAATATATGAAAATCAATGCTGAAATATATCTACAGAATAGAAATAATTATAATATTGATAAAAGATTCTCATAACTTGCTCAATTTACTGTCTCTACACCTTATGACTAAATAGATAATTAAGTTGGCACTTAGAGTGTAAAACTTAATAACAAATTCAAATGAAGCTTGATGAATTTAGAATGGAGAAAGTTTCCTTTATACTTTATGCACAAGGAATCATATAATCTTTTAAACACTCCTATTTTGGTTGTAAGTTTTATATGTACCAAATGAAAGTTATAGAACTGATATATAAACCTCGAAACATTACTATTTCATCTAACTAAGCAATTAAAAATAAGTAAAAGAATTGATTATAAATTTAAGAAATACTTAGTGTACTTTTCAACTATTGATATATAAAAGATTTTAGACATAGTAGATATTCCATAAAGAGGCGGGAAGCGGTAAGACGGTTTGGTGGCTGGCTAACGGCTTGGTGGCTGTTCTCCCCTCGGCAAGTGGTAAGACGATTTCTCTTCTCGGTTCTTCCCAGTTTTATATGTTGGCATACTTGGAAGGCTCGAAACATTGCATACTACGAAGGAAGGCAGATGTCAGTGGCGAGGATTTGTCATGCCATTTTGTTAGATGTGATAGGGGTGGTTGAGATTCAGTTTAACCAGAAGCTTGAGGTGCACACGTTTCTTCAGCTATATGAGTGGACAACTCAACAAACATCGCGATATAGTTTTCACCTGGTGTGGTGGAAGGCGAAAGAGGTAGGATTGCTAACACTAAATACGGATGGATGCTCCAAGGGAAATCCAGGAGTGAGTGGTGGTGGGGGAATATTTCGCGACTCATCGGGATTGCCATTATTTGCGTTCTCAACTTACTTTGGGAAACTTTCGAGTTTGCGCGCAGAGGCATTGGCCCTAGTAATGGGGCTCCGTTTGTGCTTTCAAAAGGGGTTTACCGATGTAAGTATTCAAGTTGATTCCCTAGTTCTCGTTGGGATTTTTCAACGCCCGCTCCAGTGCCCGTGGGTGATACGACGGGAGGTAGACCATATTTGGGGCATGATTACTGATACGGCACAAATTTCTCATTGCTACAGAGAAGCAAATAGGGTGGCGGACAGTTTGGCAAAGGTGGGTGCGTCCAGCCATAACCGGAATGTCACCATTTATGATGAGTTCAATGCAATTCCAAGACAGACGCGAGGGGAAATTCGCATAGACAGGTTAGGCATGCCTTCCCTCAGGCGGAGGAAAGCAGGCTAGCCTAGGATGTTGGCTAATTTGGGATTCTTTACAAAGAAGTAAAAGATAGATTACTGCTTCAGATACAGAAGATGGTGCTCTCGTACCAGTTGCTTAGCTCTTCATCAATTAGGATTTCCAAACTTTCGTAGAGTTTCAATGTAGCATGTGCCATGTGATATTTTCCTAGAATTTGGGTTTGTTGGCACGGAGTTTCGTCCATTTATAAGGGGAAACTCTGCTAAAATTTTCTTAAAATAAATAAAATATTTATATAAAAAAAAAAGATATTCCATAAAGAGGAAAAAGAAATTCATGAGGTGCGAGGCTAGAAAATCAGTTTTGCTTTGAACAACTATAGTTGATTAACTTTAATGAAGGATCAGAGCAACAGCATTTTCTCAAAACTCATGTAGGAAAGAAATTATATATACAAATAATTTGCTGAGCAAAACGTTGATAACAACACCAACTAACCTATGGTGATAAAAAGTTTTACATTGTTTCCTTTTTTTTGTGTGAAAATTTGCTTGGTAAGTTAAAATCATGGTTAAGCGATTAATAACAAAGGATTGTGCAATGAAGTATTGCTGATTTTCACCATTGTATAGATTGAACACAATCCATATTCATTGTCATCAAAGATTTCTCCATTGATTATCAAAAAATGGGTATTGATTAAATTTGGAATTAGACTTCACTGTTGGACAAATGTTTGAATTATTTAAAGTTTGATTATTTGGAGGATTTTAAAATGTTATATTTCAATATGGCTTATTTATGATATTAGTGATTGTTATGTTTAATAATAAGGATCAATCTTCCATGCATTAGCAATGTGTATACTATCTCCATTAGGTATATAACAACTAATTTGAATTTGAATTTAAAATCTAAATTTTGCAAAAGTATCATCCAACTATGACACTATATATAATGCTAGTGTATATAATATTAACTTTAATAATTATGCCTAAACCAAAAATAAATAAATAAAGTATAAAAGGTAGATTAGAAAAAATTTGGAAGAAAGTACCAAAAGTGGTACACTTTACCTAATATTCAAAGTTATATTATATATAAATAGATAAATTAATTTTCATTCAATTTATATACTTCAAAAATGAGATATGTAAGATGCAATAGATGCATTGCCAAACTAGTATTTACATACCAGTCACAGAGCCAAGAATTTTTCTGTGAAGGGGGGGCACTTTATGCATAAAGAATTATCACTTTCAAGTGTAATTCTTAAATTTTGCCCATTTTTTTGTCCTAAAAAAATTTTTGGTGGCCTGTTTTGGCTCCGGCCAGTGCCATTCTTTTATTTATTTTTTGTAGTTAACTGTCCAAACTTTATATTTGATTGCAACTCAAAGTAAAAAATTAAATCAAATTTATACGTCATCAAGTCAATTCCCTTTCCCCTCCAAAATTGTAGAAAACACCCCCTGTTTTTCACATTGCCCCCCTAATATTTTGAAAATTCCTCATCTCTTATTACATTGCCATTCCTAAATGCCAATATCTGTCAAACTCTCTCTTTTAGTACAATTTTTTGTACTGTTATTAAACCAAAAAATTGATTAGATCAAAGAAAAAAAAATTAAAACAAGTACATTATATATAATTTAAACTGAATAGTAATCATCCTATATAATCCTGACTCCACTAGCCACAAGTCTTGGCTCTAGCATTTTCACTAATTAAAATGTGATTTACTATTCAATTTTTTTTATCTTTTTGATGTTACAATCTTAAGGAAAAAAAAATTACTATTCACTTTTTTTTTTCTAAAAAGCATAATTTTAGTGTTCTCTAATCCCAAATTTGAAAAGCAATCATTTATGAGAAAATGTAACTAAAAAATAATCATATAATATTGCTAATAGATATATATTGGTTTTATATGTTTAAGAACATAACTTTAAAAAATATGCAAACTTAATTATTAGCTTCAAATTCATGTATAATTAACGGATCATCTGCATTCAGGACAAAGTACTTTAATTTAAAATTTCATAGATCAAAAAGTTAAATAGTAAATTGAAATGTGTATATAGTTTAGTTTTGAACAAATTTTTTCTGGACAAATTTTTTCTTGAGATAATAGAAAAAATTTTAACAAGTCAACATGTAAAGCTAATACAATTAATGACAAATTGAGCTTCATAGTTTAAATTTGTCATAATCCGAAAGTTAGGTGTAGAGGAGCAATGGAATTCTATCAGAATCTAAGGGGTCAAGAGAAATAACTTCGATAAAAATTTTCAAAATTTCCTAGGGAATATAAAATAGAATCTCAAAACTTCCCCGGGCGGTTCGGGAATGCATACATAATTGCTCTTTCACATTGCAATTACATAGTTCAGCTACACTAAATGTAAGGCAAAACTACACATTGCATTTAATATATCATGCGGTTGTGCTTGTGAAAAATCAATAAGAGTCACTTTTTCCACATTTTTGTGATGTGAGCTCTCCAGTTCCCCGTAACAAGGAAGACAAAGCGGGATTAGAAACATTAATACGAGAGTGAGACTTCTGGTTAGCATTTGAAGCTAATTTTTGGATTGTACAAAACAACTAAAGAATGCAACCCTGAATTCTTTTGAGTTTTCTCTTTCGAGCTAGCTTTCACATATCTTCGCACTTTTTTTTTGCTCAAATTATATGTAGCTAAAAATGTCTCGTATCCGGAGATCTTTTTGGCTTAAAAAATTCGGAGCAATCGAAGGAAAAAAACCGTCAAAGTCCAGTCCCAAAATCATGTTAAAGTTGATCATGTTGATCGGATAAGCGCTCTTCCAAATGACCTTCTCTGCCATATCCTTTCCTTTCTTCCAACAAAGAAAGCTGCAGCCACCTCCATCCTATCCACTCGATGGCGTTACCTTTTCACTTCACTTCGCAATATTCATCTGGAATTTGATCACTCTTTACGACGATTCGATCCGAATAGTGGTAAAAAATATGTAGACATTATGGGTCCCAATTATCAACGATTTGCTCGATTGGTAGATTGTTGTCATCAATTGATTCTTCAGCGAAAACCGTATTGTTTAAGAAAATTCCATCTTTCCCTGAAAGAGTTTCTTGAGATTTTTCGGGTGGCAATAGACTCTCTGATATGCGCCGCAATTTCTTGCGGAGTCCAACAACTTGAGGTTTTTGTGGGACTTGATCGTTCCAATGCATTGTCTCCTCCGGGAATTTTGTCCTGTCCTGCAATTTTCAGTTGCAAAACACTTGTAGAAATGAAGCTGGAAAGTCGCTTTACTGATTTCTACGTCCCGGAGACAGTTTCTTTGCCGAATCTTAAGATTCTGCATTTGGCACAATTTATATTGACAGATGAGCTGTCTACTCCCAGGCTCATTCAGGGTTGTCCTGTGCTCATAGAACTGTATTTTGACTGTTTAACATATTCAGAGGGTGAAGTTCTGACCCTTTTGATAAAAAGCCCTTCCCTGGAAAAAATCTACCTCCATTGTGTGACTGATGAATGGGACATTGTTCTGGACATCCCCAGTGCTGTAAATTTGGAATGCGAGGTTGAGGGAGCGAGTAAAACAAGTATAAATGCCCCAAAGCTTCAACATTTGCACTTTGATGGCGATGCAGTTGAAGTAAACATTCTCCCAAACCACAAGTCTCTTGTGTTGAAGCCAGAATATCAGTTTCTTGCCCTTATATTGTGAAAACATCAGAACAAGAACAATTATTACGCTGTGAGGTTGCCTTTGAGCTTATGAATTGGTCACAAAGTGTGGTATCACTTTATTTGCTAGATGCCACGGTGGAGGTAGTTTCTTTTCTTTTCTTTGGTTATTGCATAACTCAAATTATTTTTGTTATGATTTGGAGAATGACTGGAACTTCAAATTTCCAAGTGTTTATTTGTCTAATCAATTTTCTCATTTCTTCCTGAAGTTACTCTTTTATTTTCAAAAGTTGCTGCCAACTTTTGAAAAGCTAACTTATCTTGAGCTTGAAGTCCGCAAATATTATGATAAGCATACTCGTAGCTGGAAGATGTTATCTTGGTTACTTGAGAGTGCACCTAATCTTCAAGTGCTGGTCTTTGATGAAGTGAGTCCCAATGATCCTTTTTTCTCACAGCAATGTATTCGATTAGATATTCCAGTCCGTAATTATTCTCCAAATGGCAGGTGTTTTGGGATGACAGGATTGAATCCTCTGCTGAAGACAAGAAATTTGAGTTTCTTTCTGCAGAGCCTGTTCCATTATGCTTGCCGAAACATCTTAGGGAAGTAAAAATCAGAAAATTCAATGGAAAGGAATATGAATTCAAGCTCATTGACTATATTTTGCAGAATGTGAAAGCTTTAAAAAAGATGACCGTTGGTGTGCTTGGACACTTTGGAGCTCGCAGCAAAATATTGTCATTGAAGAGATGCAATAACGACTGCCAGATTGTGTTCACATAAAAAATGTTTGGAGGTCTGCTGGTGAAGCTTCAGGAAAATGTTTGAATAAATTGTGATCGGCCAATGGGGAGTAGTTGATGCCGTTCCAAGGAAATAACATAATCCAACTCCAGAATAGTTGCTAGTAATAGTGACAAAACGCAGGTTGAAAGTAGTTCTGGATACTAGTAATAGCTAGGGAAATTACGTAACTATGGCAATGTGCAATTTTCATATCTTGCTTTTGGATGGGACATGGAAAACGGGAGCTTGTTAATGACTAGATTTTGTTTGTGATTTTGTTATGTTGAGGTTGCTTTTTATTTGTCGTGTTTAATTGCTTATACATCGAGCATATGGTGACGCAGAACTGTTTATGCTTTGAGATGGCTCAAGAATTTCTTGATGTTATGTATGCTCTTGTCCTCTGTCTCCTTTTAGGCCACTTCCATGGTCTAAAAGTCATGAACCATTTGAATTACCAGAGAAACCTCACAGCAAGCACCGAAGCATCATCATTTTTAGTTGAAAGAACGATATTTTTGTAGCTAATGAAGCAGCGAAGCATGACTACCGCTTTATCCCTTGAGACATTAAGAATCTCAACAAATTATAATCAGCAAAACTTTTAGAACTCATGACCAGTTTCCTGTCGGTTTTTTATGAACAATTTATTGTAAAACAGGCATGGATACAAGCACCGAAGCTCATAACCAGCTTTGTGTTCTACCACTTGCAAAAACTCCGAACTTCTGCTAGTAATATGCAACCTTAGTAGCACGCCAGGGTGATAACAGAAGAACAACAGAATACTGAAGCGGAAACATTTGTGTAGAATGATCTGTTCAATTTTCCTCAACCACTTTCCAGGAAAGTAGATTGACCCCTGGAGTACATGCGACTACTAAGGTGTTGAAGCAACTTTTTAGGGAAAAAAATTTGTTAACTCCAGAATTGAATAAGGGATTATAATAAACTACAGATGTTGATTTGCATGCAGTCCTGATGATAATTAGCATCCCTAAAGTTCTTTAAAATTCAGTTAAGGAGATAATTCAGGAGCTTTGATCAAGAGCAAGAAAGTAGTTAGTGATTCTTAGGGGCTCGAGCTTGAGGCCATTGAATTTGACCATAAATATTAACAGCAAGGAGGAGCTCAATGGCCTCTAAATAATTAATAGAGGGCAGTAAACACAAAGCTGGAAGTCCAACCTGCTATTTCCTAGGTGATATTTGTTACATTTGAAATGAGTTAAAGAAGTAATCAAATCTATGGATATTCTTAAAGTTAAAGTTGTTATTATTTTTCAGAATTGAATTTATTACATCTGAAACAAATTGTAGCATACTGCTTTAGTAAATTTTCGTACAACGTTACAACTTATTATACAATAATGGTAGTCTTATTAGTCTTACATGATTTTTTCTTTTTATCATTAGATTCTGTTACCTATGACAAAGTAAATCCAGAAATGATATAGACAAAGAATACTATATAGAGAGTTATAAACATCAGTACAATGAACGATCAACATTTGAAATTTCTAATATTCTGCATCAGTTGCAAATTATTATAGCAAACATCCAATATATTTTTGTTTGTTATTTTTTTAAACTTCCGTCTTTCACCATACCAAAAATCAGACTAAATAAGAAAATTGTTTTTCTCTTAATCTTCACTTGCCTCCGTGGCAAAAAAATTTGGAGCGAGTGTTTGACAATTTGAAACTTATTTGGGAAAATTAGTTTTTCTTTTCATGTCTAGTAACCTGAGTCCTTGACAATTGAAGTTTACTTGGAAAAAATTAGTTTTAATTATAGTAAAACTTATTATGATATGGTATTTGTGAGATAAAAATACATTTGAAAATATAAAAAAATTCGTAGAAACGGGTTTAGAAAACCTTGAGAAAATCTTTTTAAAAATTAGTTTCTATCCATACAATAGTCAGGAAAAATACACAAATAGTAAGGAAGATTTACAGCATAATATTGCCATGTCGTGACTACAAGAATTTATCTAGGACAAGAGGAAAACTTTAGCATTTCTCGCACCACAAGAAGAAAGGCTCTTGGTAACCATTTAATTTTAGGGTTAAGTAAAAAAAAATGATGACCTAATCTTAGGCAAAAGCTGTAATATAAGCTATTAAAATTGACTTCATAATTGAAATATTTACCAAACAATTATAAAATGAACGTAGTGTAGTGAAAGCGATAATTTCATAAACCTTCCTCGAGATCTCTAACAATTTCACCGGCCTCTCCTGAGGTTTGTAAAATCACACTTACCTGCCTTGGCAAAATTGTGAGCCTAGTTAACTTACATCACATGGGGAGAACTTACTCATATACCCTAAGACATTATGTCTTATTACAAACTAATATTTAATGATTGAGTAATTAGAGTACTAATTAACTATTAGTAACTAATTAATGGAAATAATTGTTGAAAATTTCTTTGATGATGAATGATGACTTGGAATTAGAAAATAATTCCAATTGATACACCAAATGGCGCTGTTTTGTGATTGATAGAACTTGACAATAACCAAAAATCAGTTGTACAAAATGTGAAAAAAAGGGTTTTGGTAGAAGGAGAAAAACACTAGGCAAAAGAAGGTTACTCATGAGGAAATTTTCTTTGAAACTCCTAATGTTGTTATAGTTGTAAAGTGATTTTATGGAAGTAAAGGAGAATGGAGGGGGAAAAAAGGCAAAATTTCAAAAAAAAATTTGTTCAAAATCAAAAGAATCATAGTAAATCTCATGTTAAAAGAGATGACTGGTCTGTTTTGTTGAATCTTGTGATCATAGTGTAGTTTTGTTACTTATTTGTATTGTCTAATTTATGTGAACTTTTAATGTAAAGATATGTGCGTATTAATTGTTTTTAACTTTTAATTATTTTTATTCTTTTACTAACACAACATATATACATGTATAAGGGGTATTTATAGAATAAAATTTTATCTCTCTTCTTAAAGTACCCTTTTGATGTTACTTTTTCTGACTTGGACTAATTTTGATACCAAAACCTTAACTTCAGACGAGGTTTGTGTAATTTTATAAACTTCAGAGAAAGCTAGTAAAATTGTTACAAACCAGAGGTTTTTGAAATTTTCTTTTAGTGAAAAGAATATACTATACAGTATTAATAGTTTAGTGGCGATTTAGATATTAGCCCCTTTTTTGTATCACTTATCTTGTTTTCTCTTTTATTTTCTAGCACTACATATTGTAATTCTGCAATCTTTTATTGTAACTTTTTTTTGCACATATCTACTATTTTTTATTTTTGGCCTTCATTATATTTCACATTTAATGTTTTTATTTTTATTGATAAGTGACTATTTTGTAATGTATTTGGATGACATTTTATATTACTTTTAGTCACTTTTGCGATATTATAGGAAGAAAATGATCAATTTTTGCTAGAATTGGTTCTAAGTGCAATCTAATGCTTAATTGAGAATTTGTCCCTTATACTTGCATATTTTTTTATTTTTATTTTTTTTTGTAGGAGTTGGAAATGGGCTTATTTTGGACAAGAAATAAGCTTACATTATGATGGTTGAAGTCCTAAAATTCACAAGGATAATGAGTTTCAAAAGTATTTCTAGTCACTAAAAGAAGAAAATGAAGAAACTTGTTGAAAGCAAAAGTCGACTCAAATCCCTCCGAACAATCCTGCCAATTTTGGAGGAATTGTTTGGAGAGATTTGTGGCAGGAAGTTAAATTGAAGAATCAAAATGTGAACAAAACAAGGGAGAAATCCTCCAAGGAATCCGGCCAGATTTTGGAGGGATTGCCAAGGGATTCTAGTCAACAATGACGGCTTCCACTTACGTAACCTGCTTTCACCTCCATTCTTTCACAACTTTTGAGGGATAATTTGTAGAAGATTTGCAGCTGTAAAATGAAGATTCTAGCAACAAATATTGACTTTATTTCTTCCATAATAATGAGTTTTAGCTTCGAGCCAAAATTGTTGACATTTGAATCCAATGTTCACACTAGAAGGAAGACACTAAGAGGAAAGATTTCTCTATAAACAGGCGCTTGTGTCTTCCATTTTAAAAGAGTTTTGGAGATGGGCAAGGAATACCACAAAAATGTAGTTTCTTAACTCTTTAGTTTAGGTAGTGTATGATAGTTAGTTTTAGCTAGTTTATCCTTTCTTTGTGTTAGCTAGATGAAGATAAAGTTGGAGGATGAAGAAGGCAAGGAGAGAACTCATGTGACAAGGGTTACTCTACCTTTCCGACTC